GCGGGGGCGCGGGTGGGGCGTGCGCGCCGGGAAGGGCCGCAGGGAAGAGAGCGCCGATCTCTTTCCTCTTTCGTGTTGAAGAAAAAAAAAAAGTGCAAAACTTGCATTGTGACTTCCTGACCCATCTGGGAGGAAAAGCGGCTTCCTGCCCAGAGCCGTTTAATTTGGAGTTTTCCTAGCAGAACTCACGTCCTGCCCTGGGCACTGCCCAGGCCTTCGCAGGCCGAGTGGGAGGCAGCCCCTTGCTTTGGAGAAGTAGTCAGGGTTCCTCCTCCTCCTCCTGTCCTACTTGGCCCAGCTCCGAGGGTTGTGCTCCAAGGGTTGTGCCTTGGGCCTGGGAGCTCTGGCCTGGGGTGGGAGCCCAGAGTCACCGGCCCTGGCATCCACATCCCTGCTTTCCAGACTGGCTATGAACCCAGTTCTCCACTGCCCGCACCCCTCTCTACCTAGAGTGAGGTCCAGCCTAGGACACCTCCCTCCAGCCCCGTGGGGAGCGGCCAGCTCTGCTCCACAGGGGTGGAAGTCACCAGTCTGGGGGGGAGTGGCTGCATCCAGACCCCCTTTGCAGCTCCTGGGAGCCCCGGCCTTCCCTGCTCTGGGCTCCCGAACTGCAGGCCAGCGCAGGCCATGCTATGGCCACCATGCTGTGGCCACTGACAGACTGTGTCTCATCTGGAGTGAGATGTGGGAAATTTTTTAGGGCAGGCATCAATGAAAACCATTGAGGGTGGAAAGGAGGGGTTTGGGGGACGTCCTGGTGCCACAGCCTCTGTGGACCAAGCCTGCCAGTTCAGCAGGCCCACAGTGAGGGCTTGTTTTCCTCCCTGTGCCTTTGAAAATGGAAACAGCCAGACAACTGGGGTGGCCCCACACAGGGTTTAGGGTTTGGGAGCTGCTGGGGAAGGGTAGGAGGGCCAACTCAGGTGCAGGCTCAGGGACAGAAGCACAGGGCTAGGGTCATGGACTTTCGCCCTTGCAGAGCCAGTCTGGGAGAAGGGGCCTCTTCCTCACCACCACTGTCCTCGGGCAGGGTCGGCCAGATGGCAAATGTTTTCACATCACAAAATCTGTTGATATTTTTTCCAGCCATTAAAAGTGTAAAACCATCCTGAGCATGTGGGTGGCACCAAAACAGGCGGGGAGGCCAGAGCTGGCCAGCAGCCAGGGTGTGGGCCGGGGCCCAGGCTTCAGGTGCCCCTCTCCGGCTGGGTGGATGGGAGACTTGGGGGGGCTCCCGACCTCCTGTGGCA